ATTGGTGAGGCTTTTTATCCAACATTTCCCAGGAAAGGGGGGGTGCAAGTGTTGGGAGGATTGTTCATTGTTCTTAAGATCCAAGGGTCTGGGTCTGTAGTCACCTAGGCAAATTGGTGAGGCTTTTTACCAAACCTTGTCCAGGAAGTGGGGTGCAAGGTTTTGGGAAGTAGTTTGGGGGGAAAGACGCGTCCAAACAGCTCTTCTCCAGTAACCAGTATTAGTTTGGTGGTGGTAGCGGCCAATCCAAGGACAAAGGGTGGAATATTTTGTACCTTGGGGAAGTTTTGACCTAAGCTGGTAAAGATAAGCTTAGGAGGTTTTTCATGCAGGTCCCCACATCTGTACCCTAGAGTTCAGAGTGGGGGAGGAACCTTGACATCAGTGTCTCCTTGTATGGGAAGTATTCCACCTGACAATTACACACATCAATTAAAATGGTTTGTGAGAACTTATATAGGCAACAGAAATGTGAAAGGCATTTTCTGAAAGAAAAGTTGGTTAAATAAATATAATTATATCTGATCCAAATTCCACTGAAATCTGTTTCATGTAACCACACATTGGGTAATCACGTGAAAGGATTCCATACCTGTAAAACTAAACTGGCTCTTTATTAAGAGAACTATTTACAGAGATATTGCAAGTGCAGCTAACATCCCAACTAGGTGCATCCACACTAGCTCTCTGGTGCCTTATTCAGACTGTTCCCTCCTGCAACCTGTGTTCCTGCCTCCAAGATATATACAGGTTACTACAAAATCAGTGGGAATCTTTCTGTAAAGCCCCTAAGTCATTTACTCTATTGCCCTAATAATGCAGGCTTCTGCTTTACAGTGTATATATATCATGGTGCTTTGTCCTGTTTAGTATAATGTATCTTTGATATTAATAGTTTGTTCCTTACGAGTTCTAGAAACTAGAAATTATTACATTATACTTAATTATTTGAAATGGTGCTAATAATGTGTTACATGTGTGGTAATAAGTGAGAATTCACTTCCAAAAAAATAGCATGAGGTAGAGAGAGAATCTTGAACCAGAAATATTATTTTTGAATTGTTGGAGCTTTACACATTTTATCCCTATTTTCCAGTTGTTCTGTTTGAACCACCAGCCCCATATTGATATACTCTGAGCCTTTAGGGAGACTTCAAATCTGTAACTTGAATTTGCAGAAGTGTCAAGTATTAACTGTTCTTTGCTCTACTTGTGCTGAGCATTGATCCACCTGAGGCATTAGAGTAAGATAATTTGTTCCCTTACCTTTCCTCTAATACAGTGGGCAAGTGCACTGAGATGCTTTCCTTTATCTATTCTGTTTTATACAGGTTCCTATACTGCTGTCATCACTGTAGTATCTCAGTGTCTTCAGTAATGTATTAAGCAGTGTGACTAATGTCTAGCACATGTGGTTCATTCTTTCTCTCATCCTCTTCTCAGAGGGAGAATTGTGCGTGCAATGTAATGTTTTGTTTTGATCATTTTTCATATTTTTTAATTTATTTTTGCTGGGGGCATTTAAATGTACATGTTGCTCTGTGTTTATATGAGAGAGGGCAGGTCGAAAAAAGTGTGTCTGCACTTGAAGTGCAAGGTGGTGAAGTTTGTTATAGTCTTTAATTGCTGTCAGTTTATTCCAGAATCTTGTACTTTCCCCTGAGAAAATTCAGTCTCCTGAACAGACAAGCTTTACCCCTACTGTAGAAACTCCTGAGGAGTAGAGTTGTCAGCCACAGTCTTCAATCTCAGAGTTTTAGGTAATCTTTTAGATATGCTTTTCCAGACCACTGGGCATCTGAAGATGAGACGACCAAGACCTTGAACTTGACTCAATATTCTATGGGAAGACAGCATGGAGAGCAGAGGACAAGTTTGCTTTGCTCATTGTTGTCTGTTTCCCCTAGTTAATCCAGTTCCTTCTTTTCATGTCTAGCTGTGGGTGTAGGAACTTTTCCTCTATGCCTAGAAAAAGTTTCTTGTTTTTTTAACCAAAAAATCTCCAGTTATCTTGTTATAGTTTAGACATTTTAGGTAAAGAGTGAGAGCTTTTAGGTAGTGCCAGGAATTTTAAATTATTTCTATGCTGTTACACCATTTAGGTTCCCACATTTTCTCTAGTTAAGTTCCAGGCCACCGTAACTACTCCAAACAGCCACACTTCAGTAGCGTGTTTCATATCTTTTCCATATTGCTGGATTTGGATGAACATGTGTGCTACCTTGAGGAACACCATTACCTAGGAATCACTGTCCATGCTTGGTTTCTAGCCTTCTTCATGACTGAGGTCCTATAAGTCAGCACCTCAGAATCATCTCCTAGTCAGAGCCCCATATCTGTCCAAGGACAGATTAGGCTTTCATTTGTTTCAAAGCCCTTACAAATGAGGAAACAGAAGACTTCATTGCCAGGAGCAGCCTTTTCATCTGCCTCCAAGTTGGCGAAACGTTTTGATTCAGATTCCTGGGCTGCTTCAGTGCCACAAGTCATTCTGCATTTTTGTCTGCCAATGCTTGAACACCTTTACTGCAGGGACTCCAGTGATGTCCCTCCCAGGCAGGAACCAGCTGGTCCCGCAGTTGCAGGTTCTTTGGTTCTGGAGTCTGTCAGAGCACTAAGAAGTCCTCTTGTTTAGCAGACTGTTGTTGGTACTGAGCTTCCTCCCTCATATCTGGGGGCTTGGTCAGGAGCAATGTTTGTGGAAGCCTCCATTCTATGGTCTTTTGCCCTCAAACATAAGGGTAAGAGGAAGTAGAATTCAGAGAAGGTCTCTGTAAGAGGGGACTCACTGCTGTCCCAAAGGAGAAATAAGAATCATTGCCATGATTCTAGGTTGGTCTTGATTCTGGCTTTCTTGGTTCTTAAGGCGCTTTTGGCCCTTCTAGTGATATCAGTCCTTCTGATTCCATGAGGTTCTCCCTGCTTTGGTGACTGTGGAAGTCCCTCGGTGTTGACGGTGGTGTTTTGAGGGTTGTGGAGCGGGTTTCCTGCTTATGCTTGCAGGCAAGAGGTCTCTGTAGGAAAGTGTGCAATCAGAATCAGTAATGAAAGAGCCAGCTTAAAGTGAGGTAGGGTGAATTGAGTTTCATTGACTTAGGGAGCAGCCAGTTTTCTCTCTGTGTGTTTTGGATTCTTGTGTGTTATCATTCTGAATTCTAAAAAATAAAGTAGTGTGCCATCCAGCAAGGGAATTTATGCTTTTATCTATTTTGTCTGCATGTAGGCTATGAACATAACAGTGATGAACTAACATCTTCTATACAGTACCCATTGCTCAACAGAGGGATCCAATGAAGGTCTCCTTCTGGTCTAGAAGATGTATCTGAGTCATCTGATTCAGAGTTTGTGTTCTGAGGATGCCTGGTTCAGCATCAGCACCATCCAAGACAGCTCAGAAATTTACCTAGACAGTTCATAGGACTAGGGAACTGCGCCTTTGGTGATTCACATTCTTCACTAGAAGCCAATGCTTAGTTTTCAGGCTCTCTGGGGTAATTTTATGTAGTTGGTATTCCACCTATACCAGACCATTAATACCCCAGGTTTCATTCCAAAACTTCATTCTTACCTTGGGAAATTTAGTTCTATAACCTGCATATTAGGAAAGTGAAGAGTTCTCTTTTTATTTGAATAATACTAAGATATTTAGGAAGTCACCAAAATGTTTTGTATCTATTAGAGATCAGAGTAAATGAAATACTAGTTCCATGCAGAGCCATTCAAAATGAATGATACATACTGAAACACATTGCACTTTGGCTAGTCTACCCATACTGGAAGGTCTTAGGGCTCATTCTACTAAAACTAAGGTGGCTTTGATGGTTTACCCCAGTAAGGTTTCCATTATAGAAAACTGCATGGTTGCTATCGAGTGCTCTATATACACCTTCACTCGGGGCTCCTCTCTTCACGTGATATCTACATCTGACAATCAATTTGAGAACGCATTTCTAAATTAATTACAACTCATCAGCCCACATTCCTGGAGTCAAGGTGTTGTACTGATAGCTAGAATCCCACATAAGAAAAAGAATATGCAGTCAATTCCTAGTAAATGTAGTTGTTTGAGAGTGTTGCTTCCATATATTCACAATTCTTGTCCATCTTCCTCTCTCTCCTTTGGAGTTCTACTCTTAAAGGATTCTGGGCTTTAGCAGAAAGAACTGAGATGTTTGGGGACCACACAGCCTATTAGAATCTTGGTTCTGAACATTTGGTGCTTTGTGGGGGTGAAGCTTGTGCAGTCCCAAGGTGCACTGTTTTTCTGGAAGGTTTCTGAAGCTCAATAGCTCCTGTGGGTGATTCCCATAAGAGTGAATGTCCACATTTAGTGCTAAGTAATCTAGTAATCTTTCTTTCTTTCTTTCTTCACTGAACACACTTTGGTAATTGAACTTGTAATAGAAAGTCATATTGCCAACACTGTGACAAAGCCTGGAATGCTCAATAAAGCTAAAGGTGTTTGTTATAAAGGTTATTTAGAATGATCATTATCATGGCTTCTTGCCCAGACCTAGACAAATATTTTTTTTTTTAAAAGGACTGAATGTTATGGTTTTATACTCAATAACAACATTCTTAACAGTGTTCTAAGATCAATATATTTTTTCACCATTTGTTCATTTCAATGGTTATAATTCACCTATAAATAATTACAAAAACTTTTGTAATGTCGAATTCCTGAGAAAACAATTGTCTTCATTAGCATCTGTCAGTGTTCTAAATGAACCCAGTTGAAAAGCTGTTCCTTCAACAGTGCACTGCATTATATCAATGGATATACTAAGTTCTCAAATTAATAATTTATTTCTTTACTCTTTCATCATATGTGCTTATTGTTAGCATGTTTGGTTGTATAATTCTGGTCTCATAGCCTGCATAATAATGTAAACAATCCTGTATGCAAATATAGCATCTATACATTAATACATAATTTTTGCAGCCTAATATACTTCCTTATTTATCAATCTTCTAAATAGGGTATATTATTTTTCCCATAGGGATATGATGATGGATATGGGGGTGAATATGATGACCCAAGCTACGAGGCATATGATAACAGTTATGCCACCCAAACACAGAGGTAAGCAATCATAATTATAAATTGTGTTTTCAAATGACCGAGCCTTTGTTCTCCTATGCGTTTTGTATAATGTGCATTTCAAATCTTACTTTCTGACAGCAAACAATTCCTCAAAACATCTGCATAATTTTTTGAAATACTTATAATCAAATATCATCAAAAAAGGCTACCAGAGTTAACATACAAGATTACCAGAATTAAGGAAAGAATACAGAAAAAAATACATTTCTAGAATCATTTCAAATTTTAGCCTAATTTTAAAAACAAATCCAAGTGATTATACCTTTCCTCTACCTTGTGTTTCTCTGAGTTTTTGTTCTAGAGTGTAAAGTCTTCAAGGCAGATATCATACTTTCCTTCCTGTTTGTACAGCTCATAGCACATCATGAGCTCTACCAGAAACAAGTAGTAAATAACAATGATGGTGGTAAACACTTGTGATTAGTCAACATACACTAACAAAGACAACTGCAATACTTTATGTCTGTAACCTTAGGTTTGAGGGCAAACAACCCATCTACTTTTAAGACAGTTTGATTAACTTATTAACAGGATTATATGATGAGGTTGGTTGTGATAGCAGGGGACTAGACTCAGTGACCCAGCTGGTCTCTTTCCTTCCTCTATCCCAGGGGTTCCCAAACTTAGTTTGCAGCTTGTTCAGGGTAAGCCCCTGTCGGGCCGCGAGACATTTTGTTTACTTGAGCATCTGCAGGTATGGCCACCCACAGCTTCCAATGGCCGCGGTTCGCTGTTCCTGGCCAATGGGAGCTGCGGGAAGGATAGAGGTCAGATTACAGAATTACAAATAAAGGCGTAAGAAGGGAAAGATAAAAATCTTACTTAATTAGTGGGGTTCCCAGCAGGCAAACAAACAAACAAATTTTCCTGAAGAGAGTTATGCATTTCAGAGATTGCAGGTCCTAAAATTAACATGTTCACTGCTGAGTACTTCGCTGATGAAGATGCCCATTAGAACCATCTTCAGCTCTAGAACTGCTGTAGTGGTACTTGAGATGAATAAGAAGGCAATGCCTTTGGTAAGTATTTGTTGTAGAACCAGTGAAGCTGTTAAAAGGGTTTTGTACTATGTGAATGCTTACCCTTTCATGTATACTTTAACCACACTTCAGAAGTAGTGGTGTATTAGTTGCTGCATGTTCATAGGCAAATACACCCCCCAGGCCCACCGACATTAAACTAATGAGAAAAAACGCATTATATTCAAGCTACAACCACTAGAGATGTCTTGTATCAAAAAGAAGACTTAAAAAGGAATCAAAATAACTATGTTAACTAAACTAATATTTATTAACATAGGTTTAGCAGACATTTTTCACAAAGTGAACTAGCAGCAAAGGATTCAAAATACATATTATGTTCCTAAGCAATAAATACATTGTTTGTTTGTTTCTGTTTTGTATGTCATATATGGCCATGTAGCCATCCTTACTTCTCACAGCCACCATTTGAAAAACTGTAAGCCAAGAGGCTGCCCTGAAGAGCTAAAGGTGTCAGGAATCCAAGTTCCCTGTATACCACATATAGTCCCACTGACTTCAGTGGGACCACTAGCAGTGTGAAGCACTACACAATGTAAGGGTTGCAAAAATTAACCCATAACTTGAAGGATGGTGATGTAAAAGTGCCTGAACTTGTAAACTTTTTGAGAGATCTGATAACCTACGTAAATTCCAGTAGGGTTATTGCTAATATGAATGTATCTATGAAAAGTATAGTATCAGAGAACTTCAGATTGACAGCTGTAGTTTTCATTTAACAGAATTCTGCCTAATATCAGCAGTTGAATTATCAGTAGTCTCATGTGACTAGTCACATTGGGCTTCTGTTGATCAATACTCATAACAAAAATATAACGCAAAAACTGATGTTTTTTCAGCAGTTATATATCCATGTCTATGCTCCTGCAGCGGCATTAAGTATACTGCCATGAAGATGCAAGTGTTTTCTAGTTCCACACTAATGTTATAATAATACAATATTAATAACTATATTATATTAATAGCTTGCACTATTCATTCAAGCAGCAATAGTTTCTGCAGAACTGACTCAAGTTCACTTAATTAGTCAGGCCTATTGTAAATCTAAAGACTGCATTCAGCCACAGAGATTAAATTTACAACATTATTGAATTTGAGGAGGGATTTTTTTCCTGGTTATTCTTTTCATGTAATTATGTTCATGCCACCTATCATATGTACTGTATGTGGTCACACCAAAAGAGCATTTTTAGATGTATCCATTAGAACAGAAATATGTCTCTTACTCAATAGTCTATACATTTAGGGCCCAACCTTGCTGAAGTGAAGTCATGGCAAAAGTCTCATTCATTTAAATGATGTAGAATTGGATCTCCACTGTTCTTTTGCCTTACATTCTAGTCTCGGTTCTCCAGCTGTGACTTCAGTGTGACTATTCATATGAGAGCTGCAGAATGTGGCTGCATATGCTAGTAGCATAGATATAGATTAACTATAACCCTTCCATGGGAAAATGAGGCACTAGATACAAATATGATTCTATACTCCTGCAGTTACTTGCTAATTTTTAGTAAGGAAGGGTTGAAGGGTCGCTATGGCCATGACCATGCACCACCGCTGAGCAGAGGGTGCATCACACGAGTCAGCCGTACTACCTGTGCACCTGTTGAGAGCTGCCACACACCAAGGAGTTCTCTGCTGTGAAAATCCAACTGCTTTCTACTCTTTTGCATCACTCAGCCCCATTGGCTTTTGAGGAATTACCCCAGTTAACACGGGTTTAAGTGGGAGAAGAATCTGGCCCAATATCTGTTTTGTGCTGGAGTAGTTTTCAACGAAATTTTAAAGAAATATTAAATTAAAAAGATACTGGGTTGGATTAAACAGGTTGAAGGGGCTAGACACTAGCTACATCTTCCCAGGGGGTGTAAAGCAAGCGTACCAGGCTACTATTTCACACCCTGCTCTCCTTGCTCCTGATTAGGAACATTTACAAGTGAATCTGACATTTCCAGCCCTAGAACAGTGAATGTTCTTGAATGTATCATTAATGGGCTGAGCAGCTGGTTTGCATATATTTTGCATATTGTGATCAAATCATATTAAGTGATCCAAGTCTCTACCTTCAGGACAGTTTATAATAGAGATGATATCAACTCTTATTCTTTTAGATATTTTAATACAGCCACCGAAATGTGTGCATATCCTTCAGATTATAATCTATCCGATAATTCTACACAATACTGCATACAATTAACTTTTTCTTATAGCTCTCTTCTCATGTATGTAGCAATGAGGCAGAATTAGCTAAAAATACAAACCAAATTAGAAACAAAATAGTTAACAGAGTGTCAAGAGAGCAAAAACACAATTACACATGTCTACTTATTGTACTAATCATTAAAAAACAGGAAGAAACAGCAATCGCCACATCACAGGGGACTTAGATTATGTTCTAGCTACACAGCACCTTCTTAAAGAAATACGCCCGTCAGTATTGCTTTATTTTTAGTCTTAAACAATATCCTGTGACCCTCATTGTAATATCTGGGTGCATATTACAAAAATTAAATGAAAACTATTGCCAAAAACTATATTGTCAATCTTGCCTCTGGCATCCATATACATGGATGAAGTAGGTACTCCCCTACCACAGGCCAAAATGACAGAAAGGACAGAGTGAACAAAATGTGTCTTGCATCACATCACTAAGCCAAGGCTCTGGCAGACTGCAAGAGGGAATGAATGTCAGAAGCAAGAGTGTCCCAGTGCTTTTCTTCCTCAGGAGTTGAATCCCCTGGAGCAGCACCAAGACCATTCAGCTGATCACAACTGCCACAATAGTAGAGAAAATCTATGTAATTAATACCCAGGTCACAGGCCATCCATGTCTATATAGATGATTACAACAATGTTACCATAATGGCTAGGAACCCTAGTCACGGATCAGGACCCCCCTGTGCTAGGTGCTGTGCACGTAGAACAAAAAGACCATCCCTGCCCCCCAAAATTTACAATCCAAATATCTAAAAATGGATTTGGAGCCAGTGCAGATCACAGGGCACAGTAGTAGCGGAGATATCTCAGTATTTCCCTATGTAAAGTACAGTACAGGTATCATTGGAAGGTAGCTATTGGCAAATTTTGACTTTTTAATGATGTCCACTATAGAGGGAAAATCTTCTCATAGCTCATCACTAATCCATCAGTTCCTCTTGCCCTGATATTTTAACAGAAAACCATCACCTGGCTGCCTGTCTACCTACTTACGTGGTCTTGTGGAGGAAGCCTGGAAGGCTGCTACATGTTCTGGTGTTGCAGAGTCCTCTGCAGGTGTGATGAGATGTTTACTCCCTTGGCCAAATGTCCTTTTCCGCTCTGTGACCAAAAGTCCTTTTCCGCTCCGTGACCAGATGTCCTTGTCCTTTTCCTTTTCCTCTCCAATCCTCAGATGCAATACTCTGAGGGCAACCTCCACACAGCAGAACTGAGAAACTCCATCACTGGGCCCCCCTCCCTCTTACAGAGGGAAATCTCTCTTCATTTAATACAAGTAACCAGCAGTGTACCTGTACTGGACACAATGACCACAAAAGAAAAACTTGGGCTTGGTTTTGTTTCTGCACAAGTTCTTTATTGTTAAAGTGGAAGACATGCTAAGTATAGAAACGAAATAGAGCACAAACAGATTTAATTTCCTACCAAATTATTGATGAGCAAATATTTTCAAAAGACATAAAAGAAAAAGATACAGAGTTGTTGTCAAAACACTTTCAGTATTATTTGTAGGTGCTTACTCCCGTGCATACTGTAGAGCCTCAGTAAATTCCATTCAGATGTATATGTCCTGACTGCATTCAGCAGTAAACTGTATAGATATGCCGATGAAGTGAGCTGTAGCTCACAAAAGCTTATGCTCAGATAAATTTGTTAGTCTCTAAGGTGCCACAAGTACTCCTTTTCTATTTCATACTAGTTGCAGATTAAGGTATCCAGGAG